TTAACCACAGGGATAAAAATGATATATTATATACAAAGTTTCAATATATATACATACACACACATATATATATATATATATATCGATTTGATACAAGGAGAAAAACAATAAAAAGTGATACGCGGGCCAATGAAATGCACAGTGTCGGAGGAACGGCTCGGCGAGTAACACGTACAAATATTTCATTATATGCATCTATGTATGTATGTATGTATGTATGTATGTATGTATGTATGTATGTATGCAAGTATGTATGTATAAGCAATGTCGCGTACAAATCGATAAGTGTTCTATCTCCGAAAGCGGAGGAACGTGAGAGGTAAAACGTGTCTATTCGTAGCTATTTACCAAAAAAAAGGAAAAAACAAAAAAAAAAAAAAAAAAAAAGAAAAAAAATCTATCGTTCTCGTTATTGCCAAAAAGGATCGATCGGTATTGTACTCCGATTCTCTCTCTCTCTCTCTCTCTCTCTCCCTTTCTTTTTTTTTTCTTTTCGATCATCCTACTTACAAAACATTTCAAGTATCTTCGTACGTTCACGTTGTGCCGAATACGAATTTGAATATAAAGATTTTATACCTGAATAAATTATACACATATATATGTATGTATGTATTTATGTGTATATATATATATATATATATATATATATATATATATATATTTATATTGTTTGTTCGTTTGTATGTTGTTTTTCTTTTTGTATGTATGACACATATATCTACGTACGTACGTACATCGATCTCATACACATTTCTCGTTGAAGAAAATAACAAAGGACAATGATCGAATTGATCATCGATCCAAGCCGCGAACTAAGAAGCACGACGAAAATGCACACAGACAGACAGACAGACAGACAGACAGGCATACATCATACATACATACAAACATACATACATACATATATAGAAACACGCGTTCTCACACAGAAAATTCTCTTCAACCTGACTTAGAGAAATGAAGGAGAAGGATGATTCGTCGATTGATCGACATTACAAGATTAGGAGCAAGTTCACAAGGCAAGAGGGGAGGGGCACGCGTTCAATGAACTTTAAAGCACCTCGCCACATATATTTTACTTATGTTTTTATGTATATATATATATATATACGTTGTCTATATATATATATGTATATATATATGTATATATATATAACACGCGCCATAATGTTTATTCCTAGCGAATAATTACGAAATTCTTAATTATCATACAAACGCCTTATCGCATTATACATATACATAATTATTATATAGAAATCTTTTACAGTCTCTCGTTTTCTCTATCGCACTTTATTTTACTTTCTCTTTCTTTCTTTCTCTGTCTTTCTCTCTGTTTTTCTCTCTCTCTCTCTCTCTCTCTCTCTCTCTCTCTCTCTCGTTTTCTTTCATATCTTTTATATCAACATTTCACTTTCTCTCTCTCCCTTGCATTCTATCATTCTTGTTCACATAGTTATCATATAAGACTATCGTGTTAACTAGCTAAAACGTAATATACATACGTATGCGCGATCGATCGAGATATTTTTATTTTCTTTCTTACTTCCGAGTTTTAGTAACTTCAATAGTCTTATCATCGGCACAACGTAAAAGGGAAAACATTGTGCGGCTATTTTTCCCTTTTATAGTTTTTTCCGTTGTTTTATAAAGCATAGGGTTATATTATATACTTCTCTATTCTTATTTTCATTTGACTTACTTGCTCGCGAACGACGTCGTATTTAGAGCTTTCTCTTTTTACCGCGAGCTTAAACACATAATCGTACATATCTATTTACGTAGGTATGTATGTATTTATGTATGCATTTATGCATGCACGTATGTATGTATGTATATATGTATGTATCTATGTTAACATTTCTCCATGTATATATAAAATTATCGCGAGCTTATTATTAAGTTCTATATAATTTAATCACAATAGCAATTGAATTATTTGTCGAAAGGCAAATATATTTTTTTTACAAACAGTTCTCTCGATGTCTGATCCCACTATAATATTTTCTCCTAATTTCTTTTTTTCTCTCTCTCTCTCTCTCTCTCTCTCGTTATGTTTTCTAGATTATTTTATTATTAATGATGTCTTATAGCGTTCACGAATTACAAACGACTATTTATCATTGTTCAAAGGTCTAGCCGGATAATAGTGTCAATTTGGGTTAATTTCGCATTCGTATTTATTTATCAAATTTTTCTTATTTCGATAAAAAGTAATCGATAGAAAAAGTTTTGCAATTTCGCCCGCAGTTTTTATCGCGTTTCTTCGATCTTTTAAATGGTAAGTATTCCTTTCTGTACGAGAGTAATGCGATAAAAGAAATTGAAAGAGGGAGAAGAAAAATAAAATAAAATGGAATAAAATAACCAAAAAAAAAAGAAAAAAAAAAAAAAAAAAGAAGCAAAGAAAAGAAAGAGGGAATAAAGTAATAAAAAAAAAAAAGAGGAAAAAGAGAAAAAACGAATTCTGACACAAAACGAAATAAGATTTTATCACATTTCTTACATTCGAAAGCAACAAACCGAACGGAGAGCGCACTTTTCTTTTCTTATTTGCTTCGCTTCGTTGCGAATCAATCGAAGTAAAAAGATCCTTAGCACGTCTTTCTTTCTTTCTTTCTTTCTTTCTACACTTCTTCCTATCTTTCTTTCTTCATCTTTTTCCCTTCTCTCTCATATATAAAATTTATAATTGTATTTTTTATAATTGCGTTTCCTTTTTTTTTTTCTTTTTTGTTTCTGATTGGAGCATGAAAAAATTCGCGAAAGGAGAAAGGCCGTTTCGCGGATCGAAAAATTACAACTGCATTTTCCCCTCATGAAAGGTCTACCGTACGAAAGAAATATATATATATATATATATATATATATATATATATATATATATATATTTCGAAAATGGAGATTAAAAGAAAGAAAGGGTGGGGTGGACGGGGAGGAGGAGTGTATGGAAAAAAAAAAGAAAATGAAAAAGAACGAAAAAAATTCTTCGCGGTTCAGACAGCACCGTACCTGTAATTATATACACACACTATCTTTAAGAAGACTCTCGATATCAAGATAAATGAAGGACTTCGAGATCCTTCGAGTGCTAAGACCGTTGGTAAAAAATTCCAAGAATTATTGTACGTTCGATCGTATGGAGAAAGAAAAAAAAAAAAAAGATAAAAGACAAAGGAAGAGAGAGAGAGAAAGAGAGGGAGAGAGAAATGGTTGAACAATGGAAGGAAAAAGGAAAAGAAATTTGTATGCGATTACTTGAGGAATGAATTTCCGGTCTAATGAAAAAGGAATTCTACGTGAATCGTGGTAATGTTAAATCGGTGATAAATTAAAAAGGAATTGACGTGCTTCTGAATGATCTAGTTTCTCTTTCCTATCTCTTTCTCTCTCTTTCTCTGTTTTATGCACAAGGATGGAAGTAAAGATAGAAAAGGAGATGTACATAAGTGCAACGTGAGCATGCACGCACGTACGTATGCAGGAGCACAGCAGTTGACGTACTACGTTCGTACGCTTCTTATGGAAAGGCGGACGGCGAGCGACTACCAGACAATCGTAACACGAACACCCTCGTTTACCTTGAGTAGGAGTCCTCCCGACCTTGAAATCGTCTGCACTTACATCGTACGATATTTACGCCCAAAGCTATCATTTATTATACCTTATTTGGCATCGTAACGCTTTGCACGAAAGAACTTATCTTTTTTTCTTTTTTTTTATTTTTCTTTTTCTTTCCGGTTTCTCTTTATATTTATATATATATATATATATATATATATAATATATATATATATAATATATATATATATAATATATATATATAATATATAAGTAGTAATTCGTTAGAAAGTAAGGAAATCACTTAAGGGTTTCAAAATAAGAAACAACGGTCCCAAAGAAAAGGGATAGATAAATAGAAAGAGAGAGGGAGAGAAAGAGAGAGAGACAGACTACAGATCTCTTGTGTCCTTTTTTCTCTGATGAAAGAAGAGAGATCATATATATATATATATATATATTGGCAATGATAATCAACACGTTGATGCTTGAGAAGCCAAGGTCGAGTGTGGCAAACAACGAAGTCTCTAACGTTAATCACAGTATTAATATAATAATAGTAATGATGATGAGGATAATAATAATATAATAATAATAATAATAATAATAATAATAATAATAATAATAATAATAATAATAATAATAATAATAATAATAATAATATTAATATTAATAATAATGATAATAATAAAAGTGTTACAAGCGAACGGATTTCTGGTGATAAGTTACAATTAACTCTCTTTCTCGCGATTCTGCCAATAAATGCTTACGTATATAATATTTTCGTGTTTAAATAAATCGTGGACACGTGTACGGTATAGTGTTTGTATATTTTTGTAATTTATGTAAATGCATACGTACGTACTTATATCACACTCATTAAGCACTTTCGAGCTCGTAGTAATATTTTATCGATTGTGATCGCATTTGGAGAAATACGACTTTCGAAAATCCACATCGAGTCTCGAAAGGAATATGCTCGTGCCTGTACGTGTATTTTTTGTGTATTATATGTGTGTATGTATTTATATATATATATATATGTATGTGTGTCGTGTGTGATATTGGTATACGTTGGTACTTCGCTCTGACGTAACTCAAGGTGATCTCGAAGAAAATGAAGAGACTAGGCACGTAAATAAGATGAGCGCCCGTATATATATATATATATATATATATATATATATATATATAAATTTTATATATATAAAAAAAAACAAAGAGAAGAAAAGTTCGAGCGATAAAACTTATAAAAGAAGTTATTGGCAGTGGCGTGTCGATCGATCCTTGACAGACGTCATAGCGCAAATTGCAGAAAATATACACATATATATATATACCTTAGTTATTTAAATGCTTGTCGAAGTATCCTCATGTCACCGTAACCGAACCACCAACCTGTTCTTATGACCCACCCCCATATTTTACGTATCTTTTTTCCTCCATCTTACGTTTCTCTTGGGAACATAAAATCGACTATTAGCATTTATCAACCAATTAATTTTCTTCTCCTCCCCTCCCTTTCTTCTTTTCTTTTTTTCTTTCTTTCTTTCTTTCTTTTCGTTTCTTTTCTTTTGCGCACGATGAATCACGAAAGATGAAAAAGCACGGATACGATAATACACTTCGTAAGGAAGAATGCTCGATATGATCAACGAGTTAATGCAACGTTTTACGAACACCACACTTTATATGTTCTTCTCGTAACCACGATGGCAACTTTCTACTCTTTCTCGCTATATATGCGCATAATAATACATATCTTATTAAATATTAGCGCGGCTTTTTATAATTAGCGTTATAGCGCGATATAACTTATATTTTTATTTCTTTTTTATCTGATTATATATATATATATATATATATATATCTTCTTTGCCAATATAAATGACAGTACGGTTTAAATTCCATATCACATAACGTTATCCTGTTCGGTATCAACTGTCGACAACCGAATATCACTCCGTTTCTTTGATTGCCTCGCTGCTCGCTGCTGTCATTCCTAATCATACAAAATAGCTCTTTGAAAGCATTCAATATCGACGATGTCATTATTATATAAATATTTAATTATAAGAATACGCTTGATCTCATTTTACTAATAAGAAACATTAAAATAAGCAAATAATTTCGACGAATTTCCGATTAAATATAACGTCGTAGCAGATTGTAGTAAAAAATTAATTAAAAAGAAATGATATTACTTCAGGATAGCAAACCTTTCCGATTAGCATGATGAATGGCATTTGGCTGAATGATATCGTCGAAACCAATTCTCTTATATTTTTTCTTTTCTTTTCTTCTTTTTTTTTTTTTTTTTTTTTTTGATTCATGAACGAGAATCATCGAGAAAAAAATGTGCGGTACATGTTTTTACGATTTTTTTTTCTTTCTTTTTTTACTTTTTTTTTTTTTTACTTTTTTTTGTTTTGTGTTTTTTTTTCTTTCCATTTTTTTTCCATTAACGCCCATACGTCGATTATCGTTCGTATCACATTTTCGAAGTCTTTGGGAATAATATTCGCATTTAATTAAAAATAACCCTCACCTATGTTTTTTCGTCAGGCGGAAGCGTATATAACCGGTAATACAAAAGTCAGAATGAATTCTACTTAACATATGTATTTATATGTGCACTCGAGCATTTATAATTTACAAACATTCCGCGATGAATATTCGTTCATCGCTTTTACTCTTGTGCAACGTATATTACGTATACGTATAATAAGTATTGGATACAAATTGATCTCTACGTTCGATTATACGATTATAAAATATCCTCATTTGTTACGCGTGAATAATCGTTTTAAAAAGTACACCGAAACGTGATTATTACTTATCTCGATGTGCCATGTAAAAATTAAAGAAATACTTTCGATAATTCGAAAATTCAATAAAATTTTCGTAAAAGAGATTTTCTCGTTGAAAATTATTATAGTCGGATTATGTAATACGACATATATACGACTTCCTCTTACATTTTCTACAAAATAAATTATTCATCGTTAAAGACTTTCATAATTTTCATTCGCCAATATTATATATATATATATATATATATATATATATATATATATATATATAAATACGTACAACTTTACTTATATCTACAATGCAATATATACAATTATATATTAATCATTGAAAAAAGATTCAAAAAGGAAATCTTTCTAACTTTTTCCCTCGCGTTCAATGATATTCTCCGATATGCAAATTAAAAAGGTCAAGTGTCTCAAGATCGATAGGAAGAATAGTTGAGGTTTCATGGGACAATTTAATGTTACCTTTACGATAAACGTCACGCGAGATTCCTTAAAAAAGACAGTGAAATGATAAAGAATATTATTGAATTTAATTTAAATATGTATTTCTCGTGACACGAATTTAACCCCAGTCAGATTTAATGATATACGCCTAGAAGAAATTCATTGTACAATTTGTTTTACTTACTATACAGTCACAGAGTTAGAAACCCTTTCAATCGAGTATTCCGGATCGATTCATTGACGATGTTATACACGCTTATGAACCCTTCGCATTCCCCGACTTCCCTGGCACAATAACCTAAAAGTCAAGACAATGTAATAAATGTCGATACAAATGAGGTTTCGCACGATACCAATTCACCGATGGCAAGCAATGCCTATGTATATGTATTTATGCGCTTACGACGGCCTTCGTAGTTGGTGAATAATACGATTGTTACAAAAGATCCAGCAATGACAACAGGAGCAAACGTTCAGCGGCTAAACAAAAGAAAACTGAGCACTAGCATACTATACGATACTAAAATGAGAAAGAGAGTCGTGCTTTCGTGGATAAGAGCTAGGGATAGACTAGTCACTCCGACGAATATCACGTATTATTTATACATCTAAATTAAATTTTGTGCCTTAACGTTACCACGAATTCAGCGTCACAATTAAAAATCGAATTACGACATCGATAAAATGCAGCGATATTACACACCCGGTTAAAGACCAATTTCTTACAGATCGGATTAACAAAAAAAATAAAAAAAATAAAAAAAATAAAAAAAAAATAAAAAAAAAATAAAAAAATAAAAAAATAAAAAAAAATAATAATAACAAAAAGAAACGAAATAGGTCTAAAAAGGTTCGAATGTAGGTCAATCTCTCTCGTAATATGCGAAATCACTTATATCACTAAACGCTCGCCTAGAACGTATAGGGCGAGGTCATTCATCGCACAGAGTGTTTGTATTCTGGCAAAGCTTCGAAGGATCGTTAACCTTTCAATTTCACGACCCTTCCTCGTTCACCTTGACGTCAATGTTACCGTCTGCGCACGGTTTCCAAGGTCAACGCTACTCGAAGTTATTAACGAACATGACGGCAGTGGCACACGTGTGAGCCGACGTCCTCATATTTCGGCGTAACGTCTGAGTTCTTCGATAAACTCTTTGCTTAATATCACGCGACTCAAAGCACTCGAAGGACCGTGCGAACTATGACTGTCATGAGAAGAGGATCCATGGGAGGAAGATCCATGAGAAGATGATCCATGCGACGATCCGTTGCTTTGATGTTGCTGTTGCTGTTGTTGCAATTGATGACTGGCGCCATGTTGTTGTTGTTGTTGAGATCCAGCAGTGCCGACCGAATTCAAGGACTGATGACTGCTAAGACTCGGCTGATGATTCGAGGAAACTGCATGAACCGTAGTTTGAACTGACGTCGTATTGCCAAAAATACCCGACTGGGGATGCCTTGAGTGTATAGTCGATCTGCGACAATAGAAATCATTCAACTGTTGTTGTTGTTGTTGCTGCTGCTGCTGTTGCTGCTGCTGCTGTTGTTGTGGCTGTGATTTTTGTCGCACTTTGTTTCTAGTCGCCACAGCGTTGACATTCGTCGACTGAAGGGTATTGCTCCTAGTAGTGGCCGCTACAGCAGCGACGGCAGTAGTAGTCGTGGTAGTGGCCGTATTTATGGCTGTAGTGTTGATGGTGGTAGTGGTAGCCGTAGTGATGGTTTTGCTACCTGAAGAAGCTGGCGTTCTTAGACCAGTAACGGACGTTCGCGGCGGAGGAAAGTAATCGTCGTTGATCTTTTCCGAGGGTGGCTTCGGTAATCTACGCCGTAACCAAGCATGCCTGAGTGCCATCCTGGGTGTCATCCTTAGTTTTGGATCCCACTCGAGGCAACCCCTTATGAAATCGATGAACATGAGATCGTCACAGCCTTTCAATGCCCGTTTCCATTCTCTCGAACCCGGTGGGCCACGGAGTTTTCCTCTCCTCGATAGGCCACCACCAAAACGTGCCGTACCGTCTGATAGCGTCGTCACCGTACAGTACCTCGGATAACCTTTCGAACTGATGAAATTTCGACGGCGCTTTGCATTTTCTAGCAAGTAGGCTGGCGGCATACCTAGGAGTTCGATTATGCACGCCAGTTGATCCGCCTCATCTTCACCCGGCAACAGCGGGATCCCAGTGAATAGTTCTGCGAGAATGCAGCCTAGACTCCACATGTCGATCGGCATGCCGTATCCAGCACCAAGGATCACCTCCGGGGCCCGGTAGAAGCGGCTTTGTATATACGTGTAGACGCGCCGGTTCTCGTAGCAACTCGAGCCAAAGTCTATCACCTGGACATACGAGTGGGCAGTGGTTATTAATAAAGTACACTCCCATAACGATCGCATCGTATGCTTCGTTATTGGACGCTAGCTCATATAAGATATATTACTAGGACACGATCATTATTTTCTTTAGATTATTTTATTATTTTTCTGCGAACTCTTCCTGTGAATATGTTCCGCCATATTCACCGTTCACGCGATCGCGATAAAGAATTTTCTCTATGTTCTTTTATTTATTAAAAACCGGATTTTCGTGATAAAATATCTCTGAGAATGAAGACATCGTATAATTTTACGAAACGTATCTATATATATGTATATATATATATATATATATATATATATATATATATATGTATATATATATATATATGTATGTATATATATATATATATATATATATATTTTTAATTTTTATGAAAAAAGATGTATATCTAATACAATTCATTATTTGCGAACGTTTGATAACAAAGAATACATTTTTATTGTAAGTTAAATATTGAAATTTCAATCTAATGATAATACGTTAATTTCAAGACGTTGCTTTAGATTTTCTCGTTTACTGACCTAGTTTAATATTTTAAGCAACGACGTTTCTTCAAGCATAGTTAAGACTTAAACATTGGACATTATCCAGAATTATACTCGGTCATCTCTTTATTAGCCCGTCACGTCCCTTATGCATTTATGCATCTATCGCATTAATTGTAAGCTATCAGATGTGATGGATAAAACAAAACAAAAAAAAAAAAATAAGAAGAAAAAAGGGGAAGAAAAAAGAAAAAAGAAAGAACTTAAAAACGCGTATCGTGGCTTAAAATAGAATAAAAATGTCTCAAGTTATATCGCAAATTGGCAAAAAATCAACGTGTTCTACTAAAACATTTTACAAATGCTAATTGTAATAATTAATAACGATTCGAGCAGTCCATCTTTGTTTTCTGACAAGAATACACGCGTCCGTTTGATCGAGGATGCGTAATCGTAAAAAAAAAAAAAAAAACCAATATGTTCAAATCGATTTTAAAAATGTATGTACTATCCTCTACAGTATATTTTTATGGGATAGGATTTTTATTGCCACTTCCCTTGGAATAACATGAATGTTAGTTAGAAAATATATGTCCCTACGATGTGCAAGTCTATTTGTCTGGATAATAATAGCTTATCTGTGACATAGTTTTAACGATTAAATTTCTCAATATCACTTTTACAATATACCTATATAATGTTTATGTGTACAATGACCGCAAGATTAATACTGAAACATTGTTGCGTTCAGTAAGGTATTAATTTCATGAATGTTTTCCAACTCTATTTACCGCATGAATGCATTTCACCGTACTAATTATGAATTCGCAACTTCATCCAAGGGAGGGAAGAGGGGTAATACGCGATAGGAATTATTATTATTATTATTATTATTATTATTATTATCACCGAATAAACCTTAACGATTTTAACTTTCGGTGTTGGGTTCAATCGTACTGTATGTTAGTGACTTTTCACAAAAGGGATCAGGATTCATCAAGTTGCCAACAATTTATATTTTTTATGATGTTTCCTATAATATAAAACATGAACGATGCGAGGAAAAGGGAAAGAAAGGGATTGAAAATATTTAACTTGCAGTTTCCCTTTCGTCACGGTACGAGAATAGAGATAAAAAAAAAAAAAAAAAAAAAAAAAAAAAAAAAAAAAAAAAAAAAAAAGAAAAAAGAAAAAAGGTCATTCCCTTAATTGGAGCGGGTGTTTCGCTTCGAAGGTAACAGGTGGTACTTATACAGGCGGTCGCACTTGGCCGTGCGAAACTAATGCCGAGCTCAAAGAGACTCGGTAAAGTGTCTTTTTAGTCGATGTTAAAAAAAAAAAAAAAAACACTCTGCTAATTCTTCGAATAATTTATATAAAAACAATGAAATTTAAAAACAAAAAAATTTACTAAAAACAATGACAAACAAAATTGTGAGATCTCATTTGTATATCACGTACTTATATGTGTATATATATATATATATATATACACGATCATTACATCGTTTATATATATTTTATTAGATGTTTGTAGTAATATTTGTTAGAAATAATTTTTTGTCAAGATAATTAGCAATTGTAATGATTAAAATAGAAAATAATAAATGATTGTTGATTTTACAATTTTTAATTTTCTCTCAATCTGTCAGTCTCTCTCTCTCTCTCTCTCTCTCTCTCTTTCTCTCTCTCTCTTTCACTCTTTCAATTTCTTTTTTTGTCTTTTACAAGAATCGATGCACGTAAATAGAAATCAAACGGTATATAAAATACTTTACAGCGTAACATCCATCGAGTCAGGAATGATACATTCAAATCAGCTGTCACCTGAAAATATATACGCCGAACAAAAACGTAAAATCGGTTTTATGAAAAATAACAAAGCTGCCAATCAAAACGAGGCCCGGTCTTTGCTTTTGATGGCTTCGTGTCGTGTTGTACGAATGCATTATATACCTGTTGTACATGGATCTCTTTCATTGATCTCGTGAAATAATACTCGATAACGAACCTTGACCTTATCCAAAGATTTTCTGTTAATTCGTTTTCTTTTTTTCTTTCTTTTTTATTTTTTCCCTTTCTTTTTTTTTCTTTTTTTTTTTTTTTACGCACGAAGCAAAGATTTTTTATATACATTGAAAACTTTCATTCAGGATAATCGAACACAATTATCCATATTATTTCCTTTTAAACAAACTTTACAAAGTTATTTTATAACGGCTTAATTTCGGCACGTAAAAAGAAAGGTGTTAGGGGTGAAAAAAAAAAGAAAAATAAGAACGAACGAACGTACAAACAAATTTCAATATATTCGCGTCGTGATAAATAATAAGTAGAAATATTAGAATTATATTCGACATAATCATAGTAGATTTTACGAAACGAGAAACGTTCGATTCCATTGCATCATTTTGATCTGTAAATATGTAAATTGTTGATACATAATACAGTGATATTATGCAACAATGACAAACGGTAATAGTGTTTGTACAGTTATAACTTATGTCGATATTACGTACTTCGTCGACGATAATATCGACGATTTTGTAATAGTTCCTTTTCTTTTCTTTTATTCTTTTTTCTCTTTCTTTCCAAGGACAACGAGGAAGTGGCTCATCGATAAAAGTAGTAAAACTAATCGATGTCATCTTATCGTCGCGCTCGTTGCTTCGTATCGTTGGGGAAAGAAGAAAGAAAAAAAAAAAAAGAGAAAGAAGAAGTTTCACACCCAACGATATCCAACGTTGTATAGTTTCTCCCCCTTTACGATTTCTTTCGTACCAAAAAGATAATAATCCTAAGGAGTACTAACATTGAGTCATCGTCGTCGAAATGGAAGGATAGTTTGTTGGTTGGTCTATGAGTCGGTGCCATTGTCCCTAAGTGACCCCCTCACCCTACACCTTTCATCCGTTCCGTAACGATCGATAGTGCTTTTAGGAAGCTTCGTATAGAGAGAGAGAGAGAGAGAGAGAGGCAACGTCCACGTTAATATCCATGGGAGTTTCTCACGCGTTTTATTCTTTCTCTTCTTTCAAACAATCACGAAAAATTTATAAACAAAAATCGACAAACGAGACGAACAAAATTTTCATTGTATTTAATATACAATAATCATATACGATAATACGAATAAATACTACATAACTATACATATGTAATGTACTAATGGAAAAAGTGGATATATAAATGGAAAATGTTCCATATATATATATATATACTAAGCTAGTACTAGATAGACAGAAAATGTTACTCGCAAGTAGGCCATCACGAATTACACGCAGCTACGGTAAGTGCACGTTTTACGAGCATACTGAAAGTTTGCTGTTCGGTGGAAGAAAGAGAGAGAGAGAGAGAGAGAGAGAGAGAAAGAGAGCCGATGCATCTAACCCGGGGGTCGGAAAGTCGAGTCTCAAGGTCGACCGATGCATCTGACCGGAAATACTTCAGCTGCCTCCTTTCGTTAATACATACTTCCATCTTTAACACTTACATACGAAATAATCCCCGTCGATCCCATGCTTATATGAGAAAGAACGAAACGAATTTTTTTTTTTTTTTATTTTATTTTCTCTCTTTCTCTTTCTCTTTCTCTCTCTCTTTCTCTCTCTCTCTCTCTTTCTCTCTCTCTCTCTCTCTGATAGCAATCTTTTCACCCTTTCGTGAGAAATAAAAGACCAAAAATGTACAACGATAAAACAATCAATAAGCTAAATAGCCATTAAATCGACTAAACTTAAACTATAGAGAAACTATAAACTATAGAGAAATAAAGGCGGAGAAAGTAGAAGAAAAAGGGAAAAATAGAGAAAAAGACGGACATGAATAGAAAAAAAAAAGGAAAAAAAAAAAAACAAATGAAAATTCGATTTTTCATTGGAACAAAAAACACTATTGTTATGAACAATGTAACGAAGGATAAAGATGAAATGGTAAAAGGAAAGTAGAAGGAAATGAGAAAAAAAGGTTGAGAAAAAAAAAAGAAAAAAGGAAAAAAAGAAGAACTTTAAATAACATTTTTGTATAGGACGTAACGACCGAACGTGTATTCGTTGCTATAGTAGATTTCTTTTGAACAAACCAACGTAAATCGGTCGTCTATTTCTAGCGAATATAAAATCGAAATATTAATATTTATATACATGTATATATATATATATATATATATATATATATATATATATATATATATACATATATATATAAAACGAAGCGACCAACACAATTCTGCTCTTGACATCCATAACGCCGATATAATAAAATACACGGATTTTCTCTGTCGACTATGACGTCCTCCTTTTTCCACCCCCTATCTTTTATCTCACTTTTACAAACACAAACATACACACAGAGAGAAAGAGAGAGAGAAAGAGAGAAAGAGAGAGAGAAAGAGAGAGAGAGAGAGAGAGACGCACGCACACGACACGTGAACGCGCATCCGCACGCTCACTCAGTCACGCTCTTTCTCGTTTCCA